ATTTTTCCATTTGGCTGAAGAAATCGATCTCTTGCAATGACATAGGTCTCCAACATTCTTTCATTAATTAACAAGGTGCCTAAAGCCATACCAAAGAAAATATTGTATTAGATTTACCTCAATAATGAAAATTTAAAAATAAAAAATAAGGATCACAGAACATGCTATTCTGATCTTCCAAATATGTTTCGAATTTCTGCCAAGGCTGATGTTGCACAAATAGAGTAATTATAGAGATGAAAAAATACGTGTTTAACATCAAGAAGAGAAAGGAAACATGCTCTTGAATTGGCTAAAGCAAATATATAAACACTTACCCATTGGCTCCGAGATAAGAATATCTGCTTTCTCAGGCAATTCAACCTCCTCAACTTTACCTTTGATTACCTATAATGTAGATGACATACAGTCCCATATGAGGACAAGAATAATGAGAGGAAAGGACAAAAAAGTTAAGAAATGACATAAAGAAGTCTCACTGTTATCCTTTGACCCAGTGAAGGGTTCCCTGCAATTAGCTTGCGAGCATATTCTGCCATTTCAGATGCTTCCACAGCATAAACATGCTTAGCACCAGCCTATATGAAGCATAAAAGAAATAAATGATCATTAGAAGAAACAAAAATAAAGAAGTATGCCAGAACCAGAAATGCAAGATTATGAGACATAAACTTAATTGATCAAAGAGCAGAGTATACCTGAGCAGCAAATAATGACAAAATACCACTACCAGCACCAACATCAACCACCACACGACCCGTAAAATCCACACGATTTTCTATTACTGCAGCATAATAGGTTCCTGAGGAAGGATAAATAGATCATCATTAACACCTGTAAGAGCTACTCATAACATTTTTTACTGGAAACTAATAAAAGCTTGGTATAAATTTATGATGCCCCTGAACCCTATAGATTGAAATAACTGCCTTGTGATCCCTAGGTTTGAATTTTGAAGCTCAAGCAAACTAAATATTTCCAAAATCAAAGAAACATAAGATGGAAAATGAGCACGGAAATTTTAGCTAGGTGGACTAACCTGTCCTAACATAATCTTGCAACATGTTCTGTTGATGTAGCAATTGTCCATAGTAGTGGAAATACATTTTAGCAGAAGATGGCTCTATTTTATCATCAAACTTGCTTTTGGAAGATGATATTTCTCCATTTGGTAGTTTCTCTCCTGAAAGGGTAAACAAAGGAGTCGTCATTGACAGGCATGTAATACTGTAAAAGAGCAATAGAAAACAACTTCCAGGAACAGGACAAAAATAACTCCGTCAAAGTACAGAATAACTAGTGAGACAAATTTAAACCAAATTACAAAAGAATAACCACAGTTCTGCATCTGCGATGAGCATTCATCTAGTACTTCTTGGGTCAATCTATAAACAAGAGAATTATGTTAAAGCACAGATAAGTAAACTTCAAAAAACAGCACCTTGAACAATAAAGTCCTTCTTCCACTGGTCAAATGCATTATGGAAGGCTCCGCTCTCCTCCTCATTTTTAAAATGGATAGTGACTCCCCTTGAAAACAATTTCTGGTTCAAAAGGAGTAACGTCAAAAGATATAAACTTCTGGCAGGACTTTAACAAATCATATGGTAATGCCGCACACAAAAATATAATCAACATGCAAAACAGAAAATTCGCTAAAGTTGAAGTAGATAGATGCTGGGTACAAAATGTCGAGTAAAATATTCAAAATGCAAATGCACATAGATAAAGTATTCTGGTTACCTCTGTGCCCGTATCAGAACCTTCAGATATGCAAACTGACTGCACGGGGCCTAACTTGAATAGCTGAGGAGCACAAAAACGTACACCAAAATCAAATAAAAATACTTAGTTTTCTCCAGAATGAATAATTTAACCGATCATTGAAATAGATGTCTACATTGCGTTCATGGTCACTAAGAAACAAAAAAGTAAGAAAAATGAATAATTTAACCGATCATTGAAATAGATGTCTACATTGCGTTCATGGTCACTAAGAAACAAAAAAGTAAGAAAAATGAATAATTTAACCGATCATTGAAATAGATGTCTACATTGCGTTCATGGTCACTAAGAAACAAAAAAGTAAGAAAAATGAAATATCTATATATCTATATATACATATATGAATCTTCGAAGGCACACACCACATACAGAGTAAACCGTTCCCTTCGATCAACTATATTGCTCCACTTACGTGATGCTCGAGATACATTTTTTTTCCCTCTGTTTTTATTTTCCTTCACTTTCTCAGCAACCAAACGAACAAAGAAACCAAATATTTTCTAAACTTACAATGCTAAACTAAAAGGTTCACTCTCTGTTCTTTTATCTGCTTCCTTAGCAGCCAACCGAACAATAGTTAGAAAAAAAGCATACTCCAAATAACAGAAGCAAACCTGAGCAGTTTGAAGATCGACATTGACGCGAGCATCGGACTCAGCCTCCTGCTGCTCTCCAACTCCGTCTTCCGAGCTAAACCGAGCAACCGCAGGCGTCAAAGAAGAAGAAGAAGACGACGACGCAAGCTCAGAAATGGAAGCCAAAACAAACTCCTGCTGTTTCTGCGCTTCTTCTCCTTTCGAGCCCTCCATTATCGCCTCCTCCAAACTCAATCCGAAAATTTATTTATCAATTTTATTCCAAAAAAAAAAAAAAAAGGAAAAAAAGCACTGACTTCTTATATAAAAACAGTGTTTGCGAGAGAAAATTAGGGTTTCTTAGAGCAGCTGGAGGGTGGAGAATTTAGAGAGCCGCCAAAGGTAAGAGATAAAACCCCATCGGACAATAGCTTTGGGCTTTTATAGTGTGCGCGGCTGCGAGCTTTGAGTCTTTGAGTGTGCGTTTTAAATGCTTCAGTGAGCTTTGTGAGACTTCACTCTCTCTTCTCTTGAATGAAGGGAGGGGAACACGTGCTGACGTGGTCGTGAGGTCTTGCTGTTGTTGTTGTTGATGTTGGTGACGTGGTGAGTTTGTGAGTGTTGGATTCGGCGGTGGGACCGGGGGAACGGGTTCCTTGCTTGTTCTGGGACTTCGAAGTGGGGTTTTGGAATTATTCGGAGTTTTGTGGCAGGCCAGAGTAGCTGCTTGCTTTACCTTTTGCTTGGCCCAAATTTAACAGACTCCCCTTTCGCTTTTTTACTAGTGGGGCTGCCCATGGACTGGACCCACCCCCCACTAACTTATACAATACGATGTGTCAGGCTGAGAAATCGGAGCCCAAGCACTCATGTCGACCTCGTCTTCGTAAGACACCTGTGTTGTGCCGATTAAACTTTAGTGCAAGTGACAATTTGTTAGAATTACTGACCGAGTCAATAATGCTGGACGATTATGACAAATCTTCCTCCAAATAGTCTCTTGTACACATTATTCTAAATAGACAAATCAATTAAGAGTAGTTTTTGTTCTGTAGAATGGATTACTGGCAATGTTTTTAAAATGCTAAAAGCGCTTTTAAATATTTATGAAAATTCCAAACATTAAGACCCGTTTGATAATTATTTCAATTTTAGTTTTTAGTTTTCGTTTTTTGTGTTAAAGTATAGAAGAAAATGAGAGTAAAAATGAGGGTGAGGATGAGATTGAGAGAGGATAGGAGGGAGAGGTAACAAAAGTGAAAACAAAAACTTGAAAGTCAAACCAATTTCAAATAGATTTCACTTTTTAGTTTTTGTTTTCACTTTTGTCTCCCAAACGGATCCTAAGCGTTTAAATTGTGAAACAACCAAAACTTGATTTGATAAATTTTTATATTCATCAATTATTTAGTGGTCATATTAATGAATCATGTAGGAGGGAATGGAAGGCCTTATAATTTGCAAGCATTTAGTTGTATTCCACAAATGGTGTTGATTTTGATTTGAACCCTGTGGTTGGTGTTGTCACCTCAGTCAAAAACTCAAAGAAGACAAATACAATCTGCCCCAAAAGGATTCAACAAAACAAAACAAAAAATCTTCTTCACCACTCCAAAGTGTAAGGAGCTCCTCCTATACATATATATATATATATATTTCCAATCCTCCTATACATATATGGCATATGCATTTCTTCCAAAAAGCCAAGAATTGTATCTGAAGTTTAAAGTCATTTCTAACACAAAAATACATAAAAACAACAAATCAGAAAAGCAAGAAGATACAAATTGACATGTATTATTAAATTAAATTAAATAAATAAAAAAGAGAAGGGAAAAAAAGTGGGAAAAAAAAAAGCATCAAGAAGATGATGATGATGGCTTTAAAGCTTTGTAAGCAGGGTGAAGCAAGCCAAGTTCATACTTCACTTCAAGTAGGTTGTGTTCACCCGTTTTATGTTTACTCCTGAGATGGAATGGCAAAGTTTCCCACTGTCCTGAAAACCATTGACTGGTCAACAAGTCAGATTTCTTTGGTGTATGAGCGTGCCACTGCTAGCAATAAAAATTCTAGCAGACTTCTTCTAAAAAAGATAACTTGCGCCCCAAGTTACTGATTTCTAAGCAAAGCGATTGTGAATTTGGGTGAGGAATATCTCCCAAGTAAGTTCTTTTCTTGTCTCAGACTGGTGAGGACTTTCACAATTTATCTCAGTATAAAACGGTTGTTCTGACCAGAATAGTTGATAGAAATTGGACTGTTTTAGGCAGAACTGCTTTTTACAAAACTGTAAATATACATATCAACACTTAGAAAGACAAATAGACAACTGGAACTCCATTTTCGCCTGGATAGAAGACTCTGATCCGGGCTGGACTGGATATGTCTGGGATGGACTGGACTGTTAACAACTTCAACTGCTAAGCTTCAGCTGCAAATCGATACCAAAGTTCAATTTTGGCAGAGCTTTAATCTATTTCAAGCTTTTTGGGAAGCTTTTGAGAGGGCAGAATTGCAACTTCTTCAGTCTGAAGGGGCAGAAGTGGCTGGTCTTGGGGACTTAATGAGTTGAAACTGCACTGTAAAATTTGTGAAGGTTTTCATATTTGTGAAAAAACTCAAACTCTGCTTGTCTTGGCTTTTGCTGAACCAAATTTGTAACGAGAGAGATCTCGTTTTGAATGACTTATTCTCTAAGTCTGAACTTTAGGAATTCTTGATCTAAAGCTGGTTTCTCTTGGAGTTCAAGTGAGCTTTTGATTGATTTTGAGTTGTTTTTTTGATTGATGAATTGATTGTCTTTTGCCCTGTTCACTCCCTCTTATATTTATAAGAAATGTTTAGGAGTAGGGTTTCTTTCTTAAAATAATGGGCGGCAAATCCTTGTAAAAAGATCTAGAAAGAAAAACAACAGAGGAAAAGGTTCTAATTAATTCTGTCAGATAGGCTTTCATCAATCAGTTCTTTAAAATCACTTCTCTGTTTTTTTTCTTTAAAAGAAAACCTAATCCCTTTTCTCAATTTAACTGCCCCTTGTGAGATTTCAACCGTGATGGTTAGTTTGATTTCCTTAGTTTGAACAACTCCCTGCTTTCCTGCTTATCTCTCTCTGAGATTGAAGTTTGCTTATCTCTCGAAAAAAATCACCTTCTCTGAATAGAAGAAATATCTCTGAATATATATATGTTAAGAGGGATTTGATCTTCTGATTTTCGAAGATGTCCCTTCCCAGCTTGCCAGCTACCGACCCCCTCTAATCAACTCTTTGATAGTTGATTTTGTTGACTTTTCAAAGTCTGAGAAGAAAGGTGTCACGTGGGTTTCACGTGGATTCTGAAAACGAGTCTCTTCCTTTTCTTTTAATCATGCTGGGCCCATTCTGTTTTGTCTGGAGCCTAAAGGCAATTGCTTTTTTATTGGAGCCCAAGTTTGCCTACCACATTTTGATGAGTCTTGAGCTGGGCCTCTCTGGTTTTTGGGTTTTGCCTTCCGTTTTACAAAAACCCAAACTGCTTGAGTCCTGTAGCTTTTATTCTGGGCCCAATCCGTGTTGGTCTGGGCGCGTTTAATTTAGGCCCAAATAGGTTGCTACTCTCATTCCTAACCCTCTTCACTCTCCTACCCTGTAGCTTTTATTCTGGGCCCAATCCGTGTTGGTCTGGGCACGTTTAATTTAGGCCCAAATAGGTTGCTACTCTCATTCCTAACCCTCTTCACTCTCCTATTGCCCACAGACTTATGGGTGAACCTATACATCTACAACACCTAATTATCCCCAAAATTGTAAGCCCGATCCATCTGCTTCAGGAACCGCTCCATTGGATAATCCCCGAACTTCCCGCACGGCTTGCAACCCACGAAATGGGTCACCAGTGGCCACCGATGGTCTCCGAAACCAGGATGGTAGCTCTCGATCATCTCCTCGTATCGATCCACCAAAATGCCCTAATACCCGTGCAAATAATACACGCTCTCTAAGTACACCTTCTCCCCCCAAGTCTCTCTCCTTTTCACTAAGATGTAAACCATGGCGGACTGGTCGTCGGCTTCAAAAACGGGTTGGCCTTTGAGCTCCCGGGTCAAAACCTTACCCACCTCGTCTCAAATCTTCCCCTTCGGACCCATCGACGCCCAGATGTCGAGAATGTCAAGAGACCACTGGCAATTTCTCAGCAAGAAGCTTCCGGTGTTCAACCCAATCCAATTCTTCTGATCATACACCATCTCGTTCTAGCCATGCATAACGAAGTTGTGGTCCTTGTAGCGTCCCCATGGGACCTCAAACGCCATGTCGGTGAACATGGCGTCGCTGTCCATCCACCACAGAAACTCCACTTCCGAATGGGAAAGCAGGAGCTTTCGGATCGATAGAAGCTTGGCCCAAAACCCAACCATTTCCTTGTCCATAAGTGTGAAGTTGTAAAAGATCTCAATCTCGTGGATCCTACAGTAGTCGATTTTGTTCTTGATCGATTTCAAGAGGTAGTGATCGCCGACTGGGTTTTCACAAGGTTTGGGCAACGACCCGATTACCAGCAACACCCGGGGCTTATTGGGTCTGAGAAAGTTGGGGAAGCTCGGGTTCTTTTTCAACCAATTGGATCTCTGCTCGTCCCAATCGGATATTTTTGGCCCGAGACTGTACAAAGTGTTCGGGTCCCGCTTTTAGTCGTCGGATCTTGGTTCGTCGATGAGGATTTTGGATATGTCGAAGGTGGCATAGTTGTTGGACTGGGCTGGGTCAGCTTCCTTTTTTTCGGGTTGGGTGGTGGCTTCTTGGAGGACCCGGTGGGGCTCCACGCGCTGGTTGTGGGAGTAGAAGTGCTCGCGGATTTCGTTGTAGTCTTGTTCCGGGGTTCCGAATTTGCCAGCGTCGATTGTGCCACGCAGGACGACGACGGTTAAGAATAGACAGAGAAACATCGTCGTTCCGTGGCGGAGCATCCTCTGGACTTGGCGGGCCCGGCGAGGCCCTAAGCACCGCTCCAACATTCTAACTCGGCTGAGTTGAACCAGAGAGAACTGGAGTGTGAGGTGGTGTTCAGGATGAGGCTGTGAAGCGCAATGCTTTGAATTGTATTTGGTTAGGTTAGGGTGGTAAATATGGTGAGGTTTGTGGGTGTCTATGAAGGAGATGAGGTTTAGAGAAGTGAGAATGGGAAGCGTCGATGGAGCTGAAGAAAGAAGAGATCATAAATGTGTTGGGCTTCCTACAAGTTTCTTGTTTTTTTTAAATTATTTTATTAAATTAAAATTTTAAGTTCCTCTCGCACGTCATCACATTGGAGGGAAAGATCCTCTATGTTCGAATCAGTACGTAGACTCGTGGATCCCGCCTCACTTAATTGCTAGAAAGTCCGTTTTATGTCAATCCCGCCAATTTTTCATTTACAGTATCTATTTATATCATCTTCAAAAATATATTTATATATATATATATATATTAAATACAAGGGTTATTTACTGTAGACGTCTCTGAACTATGGCCCCAGTTGCAATTGGGTCCGTGAACTTTTTTTGTAGGCAATTACATTCTTTAATTAGATAATCAGTTGCAATTAGGTCATGCCGTAACAGAATCCGTCGAGATTGACCATGTGAGTGTCACGTGATCTTCTTGTTCAGGGTATATTCGACTTTTCGTTGTTTTGAACGAAACACAATCCAATTCAGCCTTGGAGAGAGGGGGAATTAAAACCCATCAAGTTGAAGATGAAAACACAGATGCTATTTCTACACCAGAAAAAACTCAAATTCTTCTTCTCAACCACTTGCAAAGACCCTGGTCTCTTCTGGTTCCTTTCCTTTTACAAAAGTCTTCCTCGTGTTTTTCATGTTCTTCCAAAGAAAAAAGGAACATATTCTTATTGGCTTCTAATAATGCAATCTGCACGCAAAGGTGGCTTCCCCATTCCAATCTCAAATGGTTTCTCTAAATTGTAAATCTCTGTCTCTCCTAGACCTCCACACTGTCTGAAACCAAATTTCCCTTGTTCATCTCTCTCTCTCTCCCTCTCCACAGTGGAGAGTCATCAGTACCATATATGCTTGCAATTGCAAGATTTCAAGTACGTTTGCTTCACATACAAGAAAGTTTATGTTCATTTCTAAATTCTAGTTGTGAAGACAAACATCAGGTCCAAATATAAGTCAATTTTCACTTCCTTTACATCGACAGATTGATACACTAGTTACAGTAGCAGGTTTGGTGATTGATGTGAAACTAACTTGTGATTGTTTTCTTTTTGTTTTTAATTTCTTTGTGTGGTAGCCGTTGGCCAACTAAATAAATATACGCAGGTTCGGTTTTGAGTCAGTTTCGTAAACCATGCGATAGTGTCTCATCTTGATAAGGTACGTCACGTACAACTAGAAGCATCCACATTTTCAAATAGCTGCCGTAGTTACAAATGTGCAAGAAGGGGTAACAGATATCATGGTGATTGTCCTTGCTCATATCTCACACACGTATAGTATAGTGGTAGCTTTCCAATAATTGCAATTGCAATAGGCTAACCATGTGAACCATATGCAAATTAAAAATAGGAAAAATAAGGCAATTTATGCATTATATCGTTAATGCATTGCAATAGGCTAACCATAGGATCTACATCGCTATTGAAATATTGCATTATACCTTTCTTAGCCTATATTTTTAAAAATAAATAAATAAATCCAAATATACAAGTTTGGCATAAAATTAAGTTTTTTCTAGAAGCAGCCACTTTTTAAAATAGCTGCCGTAGTTACAAATGTGCAAGAAGGGGTAACAGATATCATGGTGATTGTCCTTGCTCATATCTCACACACGTATAGTATAGTGGTAGCTTTCCAATAATTGCAATTGCAATAGGCTAACCATGTGAACCATATGCAAATTAAAAATAAGAAAAATAAGGCAATTTATGCATTATATCAATGCATTGCAATAGGCTAACCATAGGATCCACATCGCTATTGAATTGCATTATACCTTTCTTGGCCTATATTTTTGAAAATAAATAAATAAATCCAAATATACAAGTTTGGCATAAAATTAAGTTTTTTTTTCTTCAAATATATTTAAAATTGGTCTCTTTTTTTGGTTGAGAAATTCTGAGATTGCATTCATAATTTAGCCAAAAAAGTTACTAGCCACAAATGTTAAACTTGTGTAATGCTCTTGTTGTAATTCTCTCTCTCTCTCTCTCTCTCTCTCTCAGAGTGAACATTCACACTCACTATTTCATATACTACACTGTGGAGAGCAGGTGCAATACACCTATGCAAAAAGATTTTAGTGTTTGCTTTTTTGTTTTTTCTTGAGGTAGGCATCTTCCAAAGGTTTGCACAGCCATGCATATTCATTTGTTCTTGATGCGTATATGTTTTCATTGCTTTTTTTGTTGTTGGCTAATATGCATTTCGTTTTGCAAGAGAAGAGGGAACTACTTTAATTAGTTTGTGAAGACTGCAGATTTTGCTTTCAAAAGCAGAACACCCTCCCTCACTTCCTTTACATCGACTGAAGATTATCTGCACTCCCCTCCTCAATAATGGGTTTGGGAGCACTCATTCACTTTGTGAGAGAGTGCATCCATAAGTACCTCTACTTTTCCAAGGCTACAGTATGCATCCAGGGTATTTATCTCAGAGATGCTTTAAAATGAAAGTGTAATGATATATTTTAAAGAGTGTGATTCAAACTAATTTCTAATCAATTTTCTTCTTATTTCTGCATATATATATAATGCAGGTTTGGTTTTCAGCCATAGCTTCGTCAACCATGCGATAATTTCTATCTTGATAACGTACCTCCAAATCAATTGGTCTCAGCCACATTTTCAAATAGCTGCCGTAGTTACCAATGTGCAAGAAGGGGTAGCAGACATATTGGTGATTTTCCTCGCTCATTTCTCACACACATTCAATGGTGGTCTCAAAATAATTGCCACCACAAATGCTGCCTATATTCTTGTAAGTACCTGTTTTAACCACAAGTCTTGTTTTAAAATATATATATATATATTTATTTATATATTTACAAAGCCATATTATATTCTAAACTATTCTAACATACTGGGAGGGGGGTTGAACTCGAGTGCAAGAGGGCGAGCACAGTGCCTTAACCAACTGGCCTAACCCACTCTGCTACCCATAAGTCCTTATTGTGAAGAGAATTAACATTTAATTAATTGTTCAAGACTTGTTGACAACTATTAATAGAACATATCAATGAGTTCATATTTTGATATCTATATGCTTGTTTTGATTGCTATTCTTGTAAAATAATACAGGGGCTATCTCTGTTATGGCTTCCTAATGAATATAAGAGCGAGGACAACGCAGCAATATTGGCCAGGATATTCTATGGAGCTGTGGTACTATTAACATTAGGCGAATCTGGGCGATCCGCTGCTTTGGAAAAATTTCTTAACAAGCAATGTTTAAGCAAACATGAAGAAACAGGACGCACAGATGACAAACGACCGGAAGGATGGGAAGAAGCTAGCGAACAGAAAGAAATAACAGCAGAAAAGCATACAGAAGCTGGTGGTGATCAACAGGTGACGAAAGAAAGAGCAGAAAGGGATAAGAAGGACTTATGGGGTGTTCCATGGTTTTTAGGTGCTGTGGTACCTCTTTTCCTTTTAAAAACAACTTGGACTCAGATCTTCATGATTTCAACAATTGCAATGGCAGTTTCTTATTTATTGTTCTGGTTTGGTTTTAACGATTATTTGAAAAACAATAAAGAAGCACAAGCAGGGGAGCATCCCCAAGTCACGGAAAGAGAGAACCTTTGGACACTGAACAAAAAGGTGAGGAAGAAAAAACGTTTGCGCAAAGAAATTGTAGCTTCATGGTTAGCCTTCTTTGTATACAGTATGGTAAAGGCAGCGGGAAGCACCTTCTTCTTCGAACAAATGAGTAACTTGAAAAATCCCATCACCAATTATGACCCTGCAGTTTATTTCAATGTGCTTAGCTCCTTTTCGAGGTACATAATCTCATTTCTCTTCCCCAAACTAATTCCAAAGCGAACGCGGGTGAGAATTGGCTGTGGAATGGCTTCTACTGTGTTATGTTGCGTTGCTGCTTGGGTGGTTGAGATCCACAGGATGAGGAAAGTTACGAAGGCAGGGCTTAAAGATGACACTGTTGATATTTCTATGAGCATATTTTGGTTGGTTCCACAGTTCTTCCTGTTAGGACTTATGGAAGGGTTAGCCGTAGATGGATTGATTGATCTTTTGGCTGATAGAGTGGACGAGAAGGATAAAGAAATGGCTAAGCATTATGGATCCCACACCAGCGACTTTGTCGTGGGGATTGGAAAGTTATTAACCGCTTTTATTATCTTGGCATCTAGGCAAAGATGGTTCAATGACAGCATAAATCTGAGTCGTCTGGACAAGTATTACAAACTGCTAACGTTTCTAAGTCTCGTAAGCTTCGTCTACTACTTGTGTGTTGGCTTTTATTTTTACAGCAAGGATGACACACAAAACTCCGCCATTGAAGAACATGTACAAGGCCATAATGGAAGTGGAAATATGGAAATGGCAACTGTTTAGATCTCCTTGTTAAAAGTATAATTAAGGAATCGTCTACATTTAAATTTAGAAAATAAAATTATTAGTTGTATCTGTTCCTACAGGTTTCTTATGAAGAGTTGTATCTCTTGACTATATGAGAAGTTGTATCTTATTTATCAAAAGTTGCATTTGTATCTCTTGGAATTAATTCAAGAGTTGTGTCTTATTATGTAAAGGTGCAAATGTAATTATAAATAGCCAATGTTATAGGCTGCTGTTGTATCGAAGAAGTTAATAAAATTATCAGTTTGTATAATTCATTGTTTTACAAACATCCTGTCTTATTTTATATTTCCATCCTATTCTTTAGTTTTGTGATCATTCCCCCAACAAATTTGGTATCAAAGCAATATTTGATCTTATCGCTACCGCTGTGATTAGCAATGGCATCAAGTTCAAATTCCTCTACCAATGGGAATATCCAGAATCTAATGCCTATTTTTGATGGTGAGAACTATGAGTATTGGAGCGTTCAAATGAAGACTTTGTTTATCTCCAAGGATATTTGGGATATTGTAGAAGATGGGTATGAGGAACAAGAAACTTCAAAAGCAAGAAAGGAAACACAAGAAAAACAATAGATACAAGGAAAATAAGAAAAAAGATGCCAAGGTGTTGTTCCTAATTCAACATGGAGTAAGCAAAAATCTCTTTCCAAGATTACTTTCAGCAACAACATCAAAGAAGGCTTGGGAAATTCTCAAAATTGACTTCAAAGGTTCAGAAAAAGTGATCTCCATCAAACTGCAATCTTTATGGCGGGAATTTGATAATTTACTTGTGAAAGAGAATGAATCCATTCAAGCATTCTTCACAAAGGTTTATGGGATTGTGAACCAAATTAGATCTTATGGGGATACAATTTCAGACAAGAAAATCGTATGAAAAACTTTACGAAGTTTACCACCAAAATATGATCATGTCACTGCAGCAATAGAAGAATCAAAAGATTTATCTACACTTTCTTTACATGAACTAATTGGTTCATTGGAAGCACATGAAAAAAGAATCAACAAATCCACAGAACAATCGGTGGAGCAAGTTTTCCAATCAAAGGTGAATTCGAAGGAGAAAGAAGATAGACAAAAAATAGGACAATGCCAGAAATCTCAAAATGGGAGAAACAAAAATTTTGGGCTTATAAATTCCAACAAAGGAGGCAATAGTCTCAATAATCAACAAGGAAGCAGTAGTCCCAATTATCAACAAGGAAGTAGCAGTTCCAATAATCAACAAGGAAGCAGCAATTAAAATAACCAAAATGGAAGATCATCCCTTCAATGCTATGTTTGCAACAAATATGGGCATAAAAGTGCAGATTGCCGATACAAATGTACCCGATGCAAGATACCCAACCATTCACAAAGAGACTAGAGATATCAGAAAAACAATGAGGCAAATTTTACAGAGAACAATGACGCTCAAGAGCAATTATGTTATACATATGTTTCAGTTCTAATCAAGATTCATAAGATGTTTGGTACGTGGATAACGGATGCAGTAATCATATGACAAGAAATAAGCAATGCTTTGTCAAGTTAGAAGAAAAAGTGAACTCACAAGTCAAGCTTGGTGATGGAAAACTACACAATGTGGAAGGCAAGGGTATCATTTCAGTGCGAAAAAAGGGAGGTACTCCAAAACTTATCTATGATGTGCTATACGTTACTGATTTGGCTCAAAATTTACTAAGTGTGGGACAACTTTTGCAAAGAGGATTCTTGGTGAAATTTAAAGATGATTGTTGTGTTATTTTGGATAAATAACACTCTGATGGCAAAGATAAAAATGACAACAAATAAAGTTTTTCCGTTGTTCATGACATAAAAAAAAAAACTATACTTTGGAAGCAGAGAAAGTTGATGGTTCGATGTTATGGCATCTAAGATATGAGTCCGAAGGAAAACATGCCATCCAACATGTCCACAAACTCTTCCCCATGTTCTTCATAGTGCCAAAGATAAATGTTAATGAGATGCAGAACAACAAGAACATAAGGGAAGAAAAACGAGATCCATACTTAGACTAGCTTTTGGCATTGCACCAAAGGTGTCCAGTAGAGAAACTAGAAAGACTCTACTAAAATTTGAAGTTTTCTCATGCATCATCATGGCAAACTATAATAAGAATATACAGAACAATATGAACATGAATATACCTTTTTTCTTTCACTAACTCTAGTTTTAAAAGATTACAAAGTAGCCCCATTTATAGGAGGTGTGGGGTGCGATGAAAAACCTAAATTTTGGGGTAAGGGAAATGCTTCACTGATAGATGAAATCAATCACAATTGTCGACTTAAGAATCGTTTAGGGTGCATAGGTGTATAAAATCAAACTTGAAAACTTAGAATGCCAATGTCAACCCACTAATTATTTCATGTCATTTCTCTGAGAACGCCAACATATAGAGGATCTTATCCAACTTTCTCACCTAGTGTCTCAACATTATCGACAATTTGGAGACACACTGTAAAATTCCTAGAAAACAACTAAGAAGCTAGAGAATCTCAAATGTGAAATTGCAAACAAGGAGAGAGAGAGAGAGAGAGAGAGAGAGAGAGA